AAGTAAAAGTTGTGATTGAAATTTGAGTAGAATGAAGTAAAATGATATGGACCACAAATTTCTTACCAAAAAGAGAAACATGACATTCTTTTTTGGACAACCCAAAAAGGAAAGTAAGACAACCAAAATGGAACGGATGAAGTACCTAATAGTATGCATTCCAAATCTCTCCCTACTTGTAACCAAAAAAGAATCTCACATTTTTGGCTGTGTTTGGAAATTGGTGGATTGGGGACTTGAGGTAAATTAGATGGTAAGTCACATAGATAATATGAGTATGACTGTATGAGTTAGTGAATGATAATTGATAAACATAAAAAAAAATGTGCACTTTTTGTTGGGAAAACTTGTCTATTTTCTAGTACTTTTTTGATAAAATCTTTTTAAAATTTAAATTTGTGATGGTTATTGCCAAGAGCAACTAGAGACGGAAGTGTGGGGTGTATGTAGTACGTTGTGGATGTGAGATTTAATATGGTGATATTGTGACTTGAGAAGAGATGAAGTTTGAATGAAAATGAGATTCATACTCCGTATTTCATAGAATATACTACGTATGTGTGAGAGAGTTTTTGTTTGAATTGAAATATCATTGAACAAGAAAAATAACAAAGAAGTGATAAAAAAAGTGCTCTTGTTAGTTGTTAGACTACAATGCTTCATAATTTTGGTTTGCATTTTCTTTAGCTAAACCAACATGTACATGAAAGTCATACATGAATCTAAGTAGACCAATTGCAATCTTACTTTCTCGTAACATATAAACTATTTGCTTTAAAGTGCATGTCTTAATTGTAGTAATTTGACCTTTGTGTAATAGTTTTTCACATTCTACATTTTGAGTAATACATCTTGCTTTTTAAAATTTTCAACCCTGCTATAACAGTATCATGTTGCTATAGAGATGTTAAACTATACATATATTAGGAGTGTTCACCGGTTCGTTTTTATCGGTTCAGTATTGGTCGGTTTCGAAAATAAGTCTCTCGGTTTTGGTCGGGTTCGCTTTTTAGTCGGTTAGTTTTAGTGATTTTTTAGAATAGTTGAAATCAAGAATCAAACCACAAAACTTGAGTCGATTTTGGTAGTGCTTAGGTGAAAGTACAAAGTGATGGTCCCAGATAAAGCTAAAACTCTATATGGGGGTGAATAGACTTTTAAAGCTTTTTCAACTTTAAAAAGCTTCCCTCCCAGATATGATGATCAATAACCTTTTGATAGATTAAGGATCCACAGCGAATGTCTAGACCTCTATGTATATAACAACCTTCTGTTAGTAAGTGGACAATGAGAAGTCTGAGAGATGCTCAGATAAGTTTCATGATCTGAAAGGAACCTAAGTGAAGTGTTTTAGTGAGGTAAAATGAACGTTCCTTGTTTTCAGAGACAGAGGTGCTTAGTGGCAGAGATGCTTCGGACAGAAGGTCTCAATCAGAATACCTTGGTATGGTGTTCTGGTGTCTTTGTGACAGAACCCTTCGCGAGGTCTTCTGTTGACCTTGGACCAGAATCCCTCACAAGGTCTTCTGTTGGACTTCTAAGGTGATAGTAGCTTAGAGACTTCTGTTTTAAGAAAGAGATCTTAACGAAGAGTGAAGAAGACTTCTAAAGCATTAAGATGTCTTTAGATAAGTGTATAGATAAGTAGTATGCTCAGCAAAGAGGTGAGCAGAGGAGTGGGCAGTAGACTGCTGCTGAGGTTACAGCTCACGTTTCTGCTAAGTTGAAGGAAGTATTTGGTGTGTGCTTTTTTTACTAAAAATGAATCAACACACAATATATCCTGGTTCAGATGTGGTGTAATCCTCCTACATCCAGTCTCACCCTCTTTCAGATGGATTTCCACTAAAGTATTAAGCCCAATACACTTAGTGCCCGTCTGGCTGTTATCACACAACTAGCTCAGACCTGAAGGTGTTTCACAAGGAGTACACACCACTCCAAGTTACTCAGTCCTTAGATTTTCTCAATTGATCCAGTAGGGATCAAAAGGTACTCTATTCTATTCTACCACACTTAGGACTAGATAACACTGTCCTTCTAAGTGTTTACAACAATTTCAAATGTAACGGAATTTCTAGCCTCCAACTAAGAACTAAACTTCCAGAATATGGCAATGAGAGTTCTAACTAGGAAGTTTAGTGAAGTATGAGTCTAAACAGAGAGCAAAGTTTAAACGAGCACTTTCTCTTATGTTGGATATCTCTTTGAATGCTTAATATGGTTTCTCTGTTTAGAGGACTCTCAAAACGCTTGAATATGAACTCATGCTTATGCCTGTATTTATAGGCATCTTTGGTTGATTAATCTCCTCCGTTGGTTGAGAGGATTTAATCGTTGACGTCCAAAGTTTTGTACTTTCATCTTCTTATGTTGGAGCAGATTATCTTCTTCAGTCGCAATTGGATCAATTTGCAAGTAGGATATGTGAACCCATACCTTAGGCCTTTCTACGCACTGTTTACCTACTTATAGGTTTTGGGTTTGTATGCAACTCTGCGTGTGTAGTGTCCGTGCTCTTGTAGATACTGTGGCCTTGGTAAATTTGTGACTTCAGTCTTTTTGTATCAAATAATTTTGTACTGATAGGATTTAAATATCCTTTTAAGGTAAAAAAAATTACCTTATTGTATTTTATATTTCCAGTGCAATTTATTTGGAACAGAAAGTGTACATGTAAGTTTGTCACAATTTACTAGTTGAATTTTAGTGACAAGTCAATCTTTATATCAAATAAAGTTATACTGGTTGGATTTGAATATCCTTGTAAGGTAAAAGAATTTACCTTATTGCATTTTATTTTTCCAGTATATTTTATTTGTACAAAGATTGTACATTCTTAATTTCGTACCTTTTCTTCATTTGATATTTATGGTACTTTGAGTACTTTTATCTAACAAATATGAAGCATACTACAATCTACACAGTGTGAGACAAGCAGTAGATAGGTCTAGTACATGAATGAAAGTCTGAACCAAACAAGAGGGTGACATCATCAAAACTATCAAAGTCTGAGGAACCTAACACAAAGTAATTTTGGTGTTGCAAATTGCTCTTATAAACAGTTTCTCAGAAGTTGAAGGAGAGACCGACTTCTAAGAAACAGAAATAGTTTAGATACAGAAATAGAAACATAACGAATTCCAAACGTCCCTACGATATCTAATACATAGGAATACATAAACATACGCACACTATTCTTTCTAATAGATATTAATATACAAAAGCTAATTACTTGTAACAAATTAATATATGTGCACTAATATAGCCCATCAAGAAAAAGGTAGGGGAACACCACAAGAGGCCATACCTGATTTATTAGAAACTCGACACATCAATAGTTTATGAGTGAGTTGAATAATTGTGAGTTAAATATTTTTTTGAACATTTCATTTAAATGTCAACGTTTTATCAGGATATTTATTGAAAGTTGACACATAAGAAATAGAATTTGAATCTTTTTTTGCAAGATAAGGGTTTGAATTGGACTTCTCTTTAGTGTGGTGATTGAGTTGAGCAAACCCAACAACTACACGAGCCCATCTGAACCTTTTGTCAATATTAAAAGTTAAGATGTAGAGGTTCGTCCCAAACCTTGATTTAAGGATTTAACCTTCAACGCTAATGTCAATCAATATTCCAAAGCTTCATAAGTAAAAAGGGCATGAAATTAAAGCACAATAGAAGCCTACCTAAACATCAATGGTTGAATGAAGTGAACATTCACACTTCAGAAACACTGTTAAGTAAACAAAAAACAAATATTGAAATTAGAAATTGATCTAAGGATTGAATGATCTATTTGGGATGAATTGGGGGGTTAAAATAGGTTATGAAATGATCCTTAATGATCTATTAATGATCCTGCTAAATCAGTTTGGGGTGAAACTTATGAGTCATACCCTCCGAAAATCTTTGTTGAGGTTTATTCCTCCTACTCCAAGGACCCAACACCTTCCCTTGACTTCTGATGGGTGTTTAGTGAATTAAATGAGTGTGGTGGCACACGTGTATAGCAAACAAAGAGAGACTAAGGGATTTGAGTTCTTATTAAGCAATCAAGAACAATTATAGCACACCCTACTCGAGTACGAGCCGAGCGTATAACTGAGTTATGAGTACAGAAAATAAAACTATTGCTAGAAAATACAAGTTGTCAACCCCTTACTATGAAACAAATGATGTTATTTATACTACAATGGGGTAGGTGATAGTGGTGATGTGGAGGATCATGGGTGACTAGCTTCCCAACGACCAAATCTGGTGCATTTACTGCGTTTCCCGCCAATATTTTGTCTTCCCGCCAAATGTTTTGGACGATCATATCCAAAGGCTCCCTGACCCCAGATCCAAGTCAGCACAAGGCCATAGATGACGCTCGGGCCTTGGCATCACCAGGCCAAAGTATCGGGGACGAGTGTCACACGCAACAGTTGAGCGTCGGCGTTGCCATGTGGGCCGTTGCCCTTGATTCATTCTTCCTCATGGGGTATTGGGCCGATCCATGTTGGGCCAATTACCCCAACAATTATATATGTAGATTGATGAATTTATGATTGAATTGACAATATATTAATTATATTGAAAATATTATGTCAAGAAAAAATTAAAAAACCTTTGTCAACAACGAGACATAAAAGAATATAAGGGATGTTTGGATCTACTTCTTAAAACAATTTCCACTTACTCATAGAGTAGAAATAGATATATTCTAGCGTTTGAGTGAAAGTGAAGATATACTTTTGAGTGCTCCAAATTGCTCTTAGAAGCAATTTTTTAGAAGACACACAAAAACTAGTTTTTTGAAAAACTAATGCTTATTCCGCTTTGGCCATTTCAAACTCCCTTAAGTCATTTTTCTAATATTTCTAGTCGATCAAATAAGCAGAATTTAAAATAATTGTAATTTGTAAAAATATTTGACTAAGCTAATGAGTCAAAAACAAAGTTGCAAAGCTACATGTTTTATGAATTTGTATTCGTAATCATCGAAGCAAAACTAAACATGTCCTAGAGTTTGAGACCAACGAATGTTTACATGAAAAAGTAAGGGAAAAATTCACCTAAAACACACACACAGGCCACTAGATGAAATAGTTGAAGGCCACGCTGTCAACTTGACATTCAACTCACCGCCCTAAACCCCACACGAGGGAAGACGAAGGGGGCTTTCTCCATGTTCATTGCAGTGCCCCCCATGGTCTTGACGCTATAACTGCCTATAAGAATAATGTAATCTACCATTACTTTTCTCTCTTTCTTTACAAGGTTTAAGAATCATACAGATTTGTGTATTAGATTTTCAGAATCGGCAGATAATTTTTCTCTGATTTCTATTTGGTAAACGATTTTGCTGCACTTTTTGTTGATGCTAGTATTGATGTTTAGTATTGGTTGGAGATGAATTAGGAATGATTTCTGATTTCTAGCATGAAATAGGACATATGGATTGATGTTACTCGCTGCATGTTACTTGGGATGACATTGTTTTGTTGGATGATAGGGAAGGTATGAATGCTAAGCTTGAATTATGCAGATCAACTTCAGACTTTGAGGGCTTTAAGCTAAGCATATGTAAGACATGCTATATGAAATGTAGAATTGTAGCATCTACAAAACTTATGTGAGGAGTAAGGCTAGACTTAAATTCACACTTGGAATGTTTTTACCAGGACTTATTTTAGTCCTAGATCAGACCAGGCCAGACTTTAACAGACCAGACCATACGTCTGGAGTTATAAAGACACAAATATAGAGAGACCAAACATCTACCAGACTAGATCACACATAAACATACCAGATCAAACAAAAAAAAATCCAGTCTAAGTAAAAACAACTTTCTTATCCACATAAGGTTAACTTGAGAAATGATACAAGAAAAAGAGAGCCTTTACTAAAAGAAAAGGAAGCCGAGTGCACATTGATGTCGCCGTAAGGCGAGGGTCCGATGAGAGTCCGATGAGGGTCCCACCACAAGGGTGTTATAGGGGGCAAGTGCTCCCTTGTAATTTTGACAAGAGGCCGCTTCCATGACTTGAACCCGTGACTTATCCGTCACATAGCAATACCTTAACTAGTGCGCCATGGCCACCACTCAAGAAAAAGAAAGTTTGTTCTATTTAGTTCTCATGGTTCAACATGATGAGGAACTTAATGCAGATGTTGAGCATATGAATCAACATGGCATGATAGAAGAAGTAGAGGAATGCCTGCTGAACCTTGTATTATTGAAAAATGCCACTTGAGATGATAAGGAAGTTCCATAGGGTAGCTATCAAAGCATGAATTTTTTTATGGCTGGACTGATGGAAGGTGTCATGTCAACATGCTTATAAAAACCAGATGGCACTGTGGCAGAGATGAGAATGTTGAGACTTGAGAGGATCTGTTTCCAAATAAAGAAGGAAAAATTATGAGTAACTGAATAAGGCAATAAGAGATAAAAGTATGAGTATCCCAAATTGAGTGCAACACGTGGAGAACCATTTGAGATGGTTTGGCCATGTCTGGAGATGTCCGATGTACTCTCCTATTAGAAGCTGCAAAGACTTAAAAGTACATTATAAGAGGGATTGAGAAACCTCTAATTTAACTTTGTTAGAGAGTTAGAGACAATTAGACGAGACCTCATAAGTATGGTGCTTAATGAGGAGATGACTGTCAACAGATTCAACAGGAATAAATGGCATCACTTAATTCATATAGCCGACCCACCTAGTGCGAAGAAGTTTTGTTTGGTTATATTCTTAAATGTATCTCTATGTTGGCGGCTCTTACGGTTGCATAACTAATTAGTGATGTGTGGATGAACTTCTTTTTTCTTCTTTCTTCTCTTGAGGAAATGAGTTAACAATCAAATTGGAACTTGGGACAATTGTCTTCCGTACACAATTTTTACTTTATTTTTTTGTTTAAGGGTTTAATTTGAGAGCTGATGGGGTTTCTTCGTATTTCTTTTCTTGAGACCACACAAAGGAGATACATTTCAATATTCTTTTTGGCAACAAGGTCACCTGATAATACTTTCTTCTATTTTCATCAGTTAGCTTCATCAGCCAGTAGTGTGAGGAAGATCATCTGATGGTAATTTGACCATCGTCTTCTGCATTTTAGTCCCCAAAGTTCAAAAGATTTTCTGTCAATGGATCTTTTAAATTTGTTTATAAAAACTGGAATTAATACGTTTTAAAGACTTTCTACATGGTTGTATTGCTACACTGATACAATATTCCTTACCTAGATGTGTTCAAGATGCTCTCTTCACCCATTTCTCATTCGAGATTGCTGAACAAGCTGTCATATGTGACTGGTTTTTATGTGCTGAGTATTGGAGAATGTGTTCACAGCATGACCAACACCTCATCAACAGATGTGGAAAATTTGTATGTGTGGAATCAAAAGCTGAAGATGGCTTTGGTCTGTGTTCTTTAGCTCCTCCAAGCTTTTCTCAGCTATCATGTTTTGGAGCTATGTCAGGAAGGTTTAACACTGCTGTATACTACAAGAAGGGGCTTCAGAGAAACACCCCTGATATTTCCACATCCAAAATATTAGCTGAAGTCGAACATACTGGTGGTTGTGATTCTGCCATTTGCTCCAAAGCTCTTTCAGGGGATGCGATGGAACAAAAACTTCTTGAGTTTGAGGTTAAAATTGACACGACTAGATCTTCAAATAGGTCCGTTGTAGAATTCAATGCAAATCCCCTCTTCTCCATGTCAGAATCTTCTAATGGATGCCATGATGGGGACTATTTCTTTTCAGAAGAACCTTCTAAAAGTGATACACAATGTTTATTGAACCAATGCCTACATGAATATTGTTCATCTTCAAAGTCAAATTTGGATCCTCATTCAGCTTCCCTGAAAAATGATATAGATGATGCTGGTGAGAGCTCCTCTTCTGTTGCACTTGACACTGAAGTACTGCATGATAATATGCCAGAAAGGGATATATGCATCTTAGTTCTCAAAAACCATGGGCTGCTTGCAAGTGTTGGTATTACAGATGTTTTCACTTCTACCAGTAATTGCTGTCTGGTCCCCTGCAAAGTGTGTGGCTGTTCTGATACTACACTAAAAATGCTGATTTGTGATAATTGCAATGACACATTCCATCTCTCTTGCTGCAATCCTCGTGTAAAGAAAGTACCATATGGTGAGTGGCTTTGCCTCCCTTGTTTGAGAAAGAAGAGAAAACTGCTGACTGAGAATTCAAGCAGTAAATCTGTAAATGCTAGCAATAAAGCTGGTGGCTGTAGCAACATATTGTCAAAAGGAGAAGCGAGACATATAAATTCCATGTTGAGAGAGACAGAACCGTATCGCTCTTCTGCTCGGATTGGCATTCAGTTTCAAGCTGAAGTTCCTGACTGGAATGGACCCGTTAATGAGTATGTTCTTTTAGTGCCTTTTTTGTTTATTATTATGGATCCCTTTAGGCAAGACAAAATGGTGTTAAGGCTCCTCAATAAACAGGAATATGAACCTCAAATTCCTTAACAATCACTGCGAGGGTTTCAATTGATTCTATGGTTTGACTTTTGTGAGAGAAACCCTTGATATTTACATGTTCTTAGAGCTAATTCATTACATCACTATGATGTTGCCTGTGAGAATGATAGTGTTATTTACTTGACAACAGGGCACATGAAAGAAATGCATGCCTTATAAATATTTTCCACCTGCTAAATGTCATGTTTATTGTTTTACAAAATTCAAATTTTCATTTTATTTGCACTCAGAAAATGCGCAAGGACTGTGTTGAAGAAATATGAGTTGGATCGCCAGGGTTCTCAAAATTCTGACTATTTTAGTACCTCTCAAACAATGTTCTAAAAGGCGCTAGTTGGGCACTAGTCTAGTGCCTAGTGCCTAGGCGCCTAGGCGGAGACTAGTCGGAGACATAAAAATTACATAGTATATTTTTATCAACAGTATTGCATAAATATGATAAGTAATATTGTGTTTGTGTGTGTGTATACAAACACGCACACACACATTAGCATGTATGAATGACAGAATCGACACATTGTATGATACTCCCTCCGTCCCTTAAAACTTTGCCAATTTTATTTTTTGGTTGTCCCATTAACTTTGCCACTTCCTTTTTAAATTTTGAGTAAAGAATTTTGTGGTTCCGGTTAAATCTCTCTCCTCTGCACAAACCTCAACCATACAATTTTTACTTTATTAATCCCCGTGCCGGTCAAACTTGGCCAAGATTTAAGGAACAGAGGGAGTATATTATAAGATTTATAACTAATCACTTAACTTCATAATGTAATAAGTATTAAATAATAATATATATAGACATATATAGTTTTTATCTTAATCTACAAGTTAACTGTCTTCATATCCGTGGTTAAAGTTAAAGGTACATATATCTTTTAGAAAAATAAAATAAAATTAAAAAGCAAAAAAATGTTCGGCAAGTCTAGACACCCTAGGCGGCTGATTAAGCGCCCTAGGCAGTCAAGTAGGCGCCCTAGGCGGCCGACCAATTCACCTTGGCGCCAAACCAATTATTCGAGGCACCTGACTACTGCCTAGTGCCTAGTCCGGGACTAGTCAAGCGCCTAGAGGAATTTGTAGAACAGTGCTCTCAATGTCTGCAAGAAAGTTTTATAACATTTGACATGTGCATGACTCTTGTGTTTGAACACCATCCCATGTCAACAGTCAACACTCTAATGTGACGTGTGTTGTATATTATGTTTATTACTCTTTAGTACTATATGCAAATTTATGTAAGATAGTACCTCTTTCTCACCTCTTTCTCTTGCTTAGGCTTATGTTTGTCTGCAATCTGCACTTTATTTCAAATATTCCCCATGTAAATGTTCTTTTGGTTCTTCATACCTGATGCAGTGAGGCTAGTCCTACCACTGAACTAGTTGAAATGGATCCTTCTACAAGCTCACATGTAAGACTTATTTTGATGTCACTGTTTTGATCCAATTGGTTGCATAGTTCAATAAAAATGTGTTAAAAAGCTGATGCTCTTGCTATTTTCAGGACATCAGTGTTAATAAGAGTTTTAGGGTTGGCTCTATTGGGAATTGGCTACAATGCCAGGAGGTCATATTAGGTATTGGGAAGGGTATTGATGGAACTGTTTGTGGTAAATGGCGCAGGTAAGAAAATTCGCTTACTGAATTGTGTTGGATCTTTTATTTTCTGATAATATATGACTATAATAGTCCGGACTATCGAAGTTTATATTGGCATCTTCCATGATACAATTAATAGCAAGAATGTCGGTGAAGTTCTGTTGTGTGTGTGTTACTAATAGAAGTTGAAGAAGAGATAGAATGGAAAATGAATCATCATACTGAGAAAGAGATATTACAGAGTATTTATACATTTCAGTAGTTGAACTACTAACTGTAATGCTAACCAAAGTCTAACAGAATACAACAATACTAACAACAGTTTATTTACTATATCTAACATCCCCCCTCAAACCGAGGATGATTGTTTTGGAAAATCAATCACACTCAGTTTGTTTCTAAACTCAAGAAAGGAGGAGGCAGACAGAGGCTTGGTCAGCACATCTGCAACTTGTTGATGAGCTGGAATGTGAAGGACTTGAAGTTGCTTGAGTGTGACTTTCTCTCGTACAAAGAATAGATCAAGTTCCATATGTTTGATCCGAGAGTGAAGTATGGGATTATGAGCTTGAAGTTCTTGGAGTAGAAATTGGATCCATAAGATTTCTGATGTAGTATCTGCTGGACTTCTGTATTCAGCTTCTGCTGAGGATCTGGCCACCCTGAGTTGTTTTCTAGACCACCAAGAAATTATATTAGGGCCTAAGTAAATGCAAGATCCAGAGGTAGATTTCCTGTCTGTAGGATCTGATGCCCAGTCAGCATCACAAAAGGCAGAGATAGGTAGAGGAGTATGGGATAATGGTATAGGCTTGATGACCAGTCCATGAGTAATAGTACCAGATAGGTACCTGAGTTTATGTTTCACAGCTTTCCAGTGATCCTGTAAAGGATTAGCCATGAACTGGCAAACTTTATTGAAAACATAGCTAAGTTCAGGTCTGGTTAGGGTAGCATACTGTAGAGTTCCAACCACAGACCTGTAATGAGAAGGATCAGGAAGCAAGTCAGTCCCTTCATTGGTAAGCTTGCAGCTACTTACCATAGGTGTTTTGACACCCTTGGAATCTGACATTCCAACCTTATGTAGAAGATCTCTGACATACTTTGCTTGGGATAAATGAAGACAACCATCAGGAAGTTTTCTGACTTCAATACCCAGAAAAAAATCTATATCTCCCAGATGTTTGAGAGAGAAGGAAGAGTCAAGCTTCTGAATGATTTGATGTATAACAGTAGGATTATTTCCTATGACTATGACAACCTCTGATACCATAATAGAAGTTAAAGAAGAGATAGAATGGAAAATGAATCATCATACTGAGAAAGAGATATTACAGAATATTTATACATTTCAGTAGTTGAACTACTAACTGTAATGCTAACCGAAGTCTAACAGAATACAACAATACTAACAACAGTTTATTTACTATATCTAACAGTTACTGAATGCTATTGAATGCCTTATTTTGTGCCTAAGTCTGTTGTATACGTTTAAGTGCTGGGAGTGTGGGCTAAGCCTTGTTAATGCCTTGAACACTCCCCCTTAACCCCCTTAAGTCAGAACATGCAGATTTATTCTCCATGCTTGCTACACATATTCAATACTAGGTCTTAAGGCCCTCACAAAAAGTACTAGGTCTTCAGGCTTTACTGCGGACATAGCCCAGCGATCACTTGTCCTAACAAAAGTTGGAACCACGTCTCCTGAAATAATTCTTCATTATGAAGTGACAATGAACCTCAGTATGTTTGCTCCTGTTACAAATCGGTTAGGATGTGATTTGAGAAGAACTGATTACAACAACAACAACAACATCCAAGCCTTAGTCCCAAACGATATTGGGGTCGGCTAACATGAATCGATATATGATATCACCAAAAGGAAAAGGACGAAAATAAAGATAAAAAAGATAAGCTATTATAAAAAAGATAATATAAAAGAGATGAATATACATATAAAAGATCAAATAAAAAGGATAAAGTAATATTTATATATAAGGATAAATATATATATATATATATATATATATATATATATATATAAAGAGGAGAAAAGATGATACAAGATCACTCTTCCACACGAATACCCGCCCTCCATTTTGCTCTCTCCAAAGGCATACTCTCATCCAATCCAAGAAGAAGCATATCACTTCTGACTCCCCTAACCCACGTCTGTTTGGGCCTTCCTCTCCCTCTCTTCCCTACCTCTTCTCCACACATCTCAACTCGTCTGACAGGTGCATCACTCGGTCTTCTATGCACATGACCAAACCACCGTAGGCATGACTCCCGCATCTTATCTTCAATAGGTGCTACTCCCACCCTTTGTCTAATTGTCTCATTCCTCACGCGGTCCTTTCTAGTATGCCCACACATCCAACGCAGCATGCGCATCTCTGCCACACTCATCTTTTGAATGTGACATTGTTTCACCGCCCAACACTCCGTGCCATACAGTAATGCAGGCCTAATTGCTGTCCTATAAAATTTACCCTTCAGTCTAGTCGGCATACCTCGATCGCATAGAAATCCTGACGCACTCTTCCACTTCATCCACCCTGTTCTGATTCTATGGGATACATCTCCATCTAACTCACCGTCCTTCTGAATTATGGAGCCCAAGTAACGAAACATATCGCTGACCGATATCTCCTTACCATCTAAAGTAATTCCACTATTACTACTGCTTCTACCTCCACCAAACTTGCACTCCATGTACTCTGTCTTGCTTCTACTTAGTCTGAAACCCTTGTTCTCCAATGTCTGTCGCCATACTTCCAACTTTGCTTTAACCCCTGATTGCGTCTCATCAATCAATACAATATCGTCGGCAAACATCATGCACCACGGTATATCGTCTTGAATTGACTTTGTAAGTTCATCCATGACTATGGCAAATAAAAAAGGGCTCAGGGTCGATCCTTGGTGCACTCCGATAGTAATAGGGAACTCCGCAGTCCTCCCTACACTAGTACGAACACTTGTAGTACTATCCTCATACATATCCATGATGATGCTGATATACTTGCGTGAAATGCCTTTTCTAGTTAAGGCCCACCAAAGAACTTCTCGAGGTACCCTATCATATGCCTTTTCTAAGTCAATGAACACTAAATGCAAATCCTTGTGAGCGTCTCTATACTTCTCCATAAGTTGCCAAAGAAGGTGAATAGCCTCAGTTGTTGAGCGACCAAGCATAAAACCGAATTGATTCTCTGAAATCTTCACCGTTCTTCGAAGTCTTTGCTCAATCACTCGCTCCCAAAGTTATGGTATGACTGCATGAAACTAAATCTATTATAGAATTTGAGTTTTGTGAACAGCTATTGCACCCAAATTAGTTCTTGGCATTCTGCTGCTTCACTTGTACGAGCAATGCATCTCGTTTTTTATTCTTCCATGACACAAGATTTCTGCCAAATAGCATAAAATAAGCTAGATGCGCTTATTCTATTCTAAATTACCAATTGTGCAAGGTTAATGGTTCAATTTCAGTTTCAATGATGATATTGTGCAGGACTCATCTTGTTTCATTCCCTTTGTTACCTTATTTTTCCCCATCTACTATGTAATTTGATTGCAACATTTTATGGATGTTTCTCTTACAACATAAACTTGTCTCAACTTGGATCTTTTGGAACTCCGCTCGAATTACTTTATAATCTCAACAGATGGTTACTTTCACAGGGCCCCTCTTTTTGAAGTTCAAACAGATGATTGGGAGTGCTTTCAATCTGTTCTATGGGATCCAGCACATGCTGATTGTGCTGTTCCTCAGGTACACTAGTTGACTGTTCTGCATCTTTTAATCATTCTAACATGAGTTAGTCTTGCACATAATTCCTCTGTTTTATCTCTTTTTTTCTCCTTTTTATGACATTAAACTTATTGAGTTTTGTGGGTTTTGACCTCACAACTCTGCAAAGAACAAAAGAAAATAAGTGTTTTTTTTGTATTGAACACTATCTGCATTTTAGCACTAGCCAATTATAGTTGACATGCCTCCGCGTATGGCTGCTAATCCGGAATGGTTCCCACTTTTTAAGTGAATCACTGTTCTGACTGAGCTTTGCACCAAGATATGTGCAGTATTTAAGACATATGAGCATAAATATTATTTCCTTCGCAATCAAAACTAGGTAGAGGTAAAGGCGGCTAGGCAGGAAACTTGAGCTGGGACTTAGGCAACAATTTTGTCCATCAATGTGCTCTACTGTCTTTGGTTTCTAAGACCATTGGGAAATTCTTTGTCTTGTCCTACTCATTTTTCAGTGATACTTTTTATTGGTCGATTGTCCCATCCATCTTAAGCTTTTTGAAAAATGAATATTTGCGGGTTTCGTTATCATAAAAATAATTGTGAGGCTATACTGTTTTTTTGTAGAGAAGCTTCAATATGCTGTAGGCCACTCAAGCACCAAAATATGTGCAGTATTTAAGACATATGAGCATAAATATTATTTTCTTCGTAATCAAAACTAGGTAGAGGTAAAGGCGGCTAGGCAAGAAACTTGAGCTGGGACTTAGGCAACAATTTTGTCAATCAATGTGCTCTACTGTCTTTGGTTTCTAAGACCATTGGGAAATTCTTTGTCTTGTCCTACTCATTTTTCAGTGATACTTTTTATTGGTCGATTGTCCCATCCATCTTAAGCTTTTTGAAAAATGAATATTTGCGGGTTTCGTTATCATAAAAATAATTGTGAGGCTATACTGTTTTTTTGTAGAGAAGCTTCAATATGCTGTAGGCCACTCAAGCACCAAGATATGTGCAGTATTTAAGACATATGAGCATAAATATTATTTCCTTCGCAATCAAAACTAGGTAGAGGTAAAGGCGGCTAGGCAGGAAACTTGAGCTGGGACTTAGGCAACAATTTTGTCCATCAATGTGCTCTACTGTCTTTGGTTTCTAAGACCATTGGGAAATTCTTTGTCTTGTCCTACTCATTTTTCAGTGATACTTTTTATTGGTCAATTGTCCCATCCATCTTAAGCTTTTTGAAAAATGAATATTTGTGGGTTTCGTTATCATAAAAATAATTGTGAGGCTATACTGTTTATTTGTAGAGAAGCTTCAATATGCTGTAGGCACTCAAGCACTTATATGTTCTTCCCTTTTGCTGTACTTATATATATATATATATCTATTTTTATTTTCCCACTTTCCTGCAATTTTTTCATACATGTCTCATTGTCTGAGCCTCTAGGCATCATTTTTAGCACATCTTACCTTCAATTTTCACATGACCCATCTTTGGTTTCAGGAGCTAGAAACAGAGGAAGTTATGAAACAACTAAAGTACATAGAGATGGTAAGTGTTGTAGGTCTTCTTTGATTTTCTTTATTTCTAGGAGTTCCCTTTAGGAGTGTGAGGCATTTTCCTCTCTCCCTCTCTCACATGCACTGGTACATTAGATATATGCATCTCCCTTTGGCATGTTAGGCTTTTACTTATGCAACAATTATTAAAGCTTAAATTATTGGGGGTATAGCCGGCACCAATATCTGAACCATAATGCTTTTATTTCATAAAAGTAGATTTCGTACCCAAGTAGTGTTGGCGATTTGTTGAATAGATACTATAGATAGGTTAGTGTATGCCCAAAAAAAGAATTTGTAGTTTTCAAACTTGGTCCCCTGGTTTTAATAATCAGCAGGCATTTTGTGCATGCAAACTGAGGTCTCTTACTCATTGCTTGAATGAATACCTGTGGTAATTTAGGTCTCTCCTCAACCTACTAACAACACATACTATTTTGAATCAGTTGAGACCACGGCTTGATGCGAAGAGGCGCAAATTGGATTGCAACAAGCGTAGTGACTTGCAAAATGGTACAGAGACTTGAAAATCTTGTAGAGTTTGAACATGCAGAACTTAGGAAGTTTTAACGTGCACATAGATAGTAATGCCTTTTGAGCTGAACAATCAATCATTAACCGCATGATGTTAACAGGTCAAAATGATAATGGTCGCCCATTTCTCTTGATTGCATATTGGATATTCCATCCTATGTTATACATAGTATTTTTTGTATGTTTCACTTTTTTAGTTTGTGTCACAGTTGTGTGCTTTTTTTAAGCGGCCCTTTTTCTCCATATACCCTTTTATGATCTGATTGGGTTTTTTGGAGTGGAGGTCTAAATGTCACTCCATTTCCCTTCTCTTCAACTAAACCAAATAAGGTAACACAAAAATACCCTGCCTTTCTCCTCTCTTGAGTCAAACAAACCCATTACCCATATTCATTCTGGGCATTTTTGGTATAAAGGGTAGATGAACACAGTCCCATTTCCAGATGTTTTTTTGCAGACCAAATCAGTTTTCCTGATGGCCAGATGAGAACTTGTCTGTTCCCTCTATAGTAGGGCCATATTGCACCTGTTATGGCTGGCTAGAAAGACCAGAATCGACCCAATAATTAGAGCAGAACCAGATCTGTCCCTAGAACTGAACTGGAATTAGACTGAGCATATTCAGTCCAATTCTGGTTCCATTCTTTTCATGACTCAGAACCAGCTGGTACAGAATCATAACTGGATTGGGTTCACCCTTAGTTGTTATCAAGAGACAAGTGCCCTGTACTAATGACGTGTTGGAATGCCAAGTGCCAACTGCTAAAGATGAAGAAAGGGCGTTATAGAATGGAAATGACATCATTGGCAGTAGAGAATTTCTCACCCTACCATTAGAGACTTTCATCATTGAACTGGTGGGAGTAAAAAAAGTACAAGTATTGAAGTGTAAAAAAAGTACAAGTATTGAAGTTCAGTTCAATTCCCTCGTAAAAGTTGGAGGGGATCCTTACTTCGAATGATCTCAATGGATTCTTGACTCCCAAGTCCCAACTCCCAAGTGAAAGCATAATAGTAAATTTGGAGGAACACAGTCTACTCAAACCTACTTTGATCATCTAAAAAACGAATCACAAACATTTTGGACTATTAGAACATAAAATCTGAACGTTTTTACCTGTTCATCCTGAAAACATATCTCCTGTGCTATTAGTGTATGTTGGCCTGTTTGGTTTGAGGTTACTAGGGGGTGGCCAGGGATATAATTTCCTCTCTTTTAACTAAAACTAATTGGAGCGTGACGCATTTAAGTTTTTCGCTTACTTAGGTTCCTTAATTTCTACCCCTTCAAAATGTGTTTGAATGGCCCCAGATAGTTTTTTTAATATGGTATACAACCTTCCTAGGAGTGGAGCTGACCTAGAATTTTTGGTCCGGGTAAAGGGTGACCCGTGACCACAATGTGGATCTGGGAGAACCGGGGTGGAATCAGTGCCTATCCACCCATACTTCAATTTTTGAGCGTTAGGAGTAGAGGCTAAATTTATCCTCTTCCCTCCCTTCCAGCAAGACCAAATAATGCAACTCAAAAGTATTCCATATGGTTCCATTATTATCAAACTTGTATTTATTCAATGATATTTTTAAAGATATTTCCATTAAATATAACCATTTAATGACCTGATGAGTGACATAAAAATTTTGTAAATGTTGATGACCTAAACCTAGGGACTTGTTTGCAATTGGGATCTTCATATGTGCGACGAGCCTAGGGACTTTTTTTGTGGCCGGTTGATAGCGGGCGGCAACAACGTTTCAACAAGGGTTTAATGAAGGCTTTCCTTGGTATTAGTACCCAAGATATGCGGGGCTACAATGGCAAGTATTGAATAATTTTGTAGAAATTTGTTAATCGAAGAAGATGGAGGGGGGGGTGTGTGTTCAGTGTAGATGAGGGGGAAGGCGAAGGGGAGATGAGCAAATTTCATTTCACGCTTAGATGCGAATATCATTGAGGCTACCAAACTCTCATTATTTAGGACAACATGGCATCGATTTGAACCTATTAGTGTTGCGACTCGTATGAGAGGAGGTTTAACGCTTGAAGTTTCATTAACGCATGCATAATTTCGAATCGAAGTTCATAAATCTTCATTTGGGACTTCTGACGAATAATGCGACAAAAGTGACAAACAATTACGTTGACAAGTTGGTGCACATTGATGAATATGAGTTTGGAGGAGCATGAAAGGGGTATATGAGAATATGTGTTTATGAGACATAGATAAGCCCTTGAAGAGATACATGAAATTCCATGAGGAAGGCAATGCCTGATTCTGGGCGAATTTTAAATATGAAAATATACCTTATGTGTTTCACATGTGGTCTTATTGGTCATGCAAACAAACATTCTCCCTATGGATGGGTGTTTGCTTGTAACAGGAGACAAAGTGCAAGCCTATGGGTCCCGCTTGCTAGCTAATGGCGGAAAAAGAAAGCTTGGTGTAGGAAGTAAATGATTAGTGACAAAAAAATGAGATGGTAGTGTGTGTGGTGAGAGGAAGAGAAGTAGGCGGGGGAAGGCGACATAGAGCTTAACGGAACATTGTGGTGAAGCTCTGAAGGAGTGGCACTAGTTAACAAAGTTTAGTAGAGCTAAATGAAAATAGGGGAATGAGGTGGTGGAGCTAGTTAGAGAGGGAGGGAATATGAAAATATGACAAAAATGTAGATAATCGGAACGAAACAAAGAGAAGTTTGGGATACAACAATATTGCTATAGAACACTAGCATAAAAAGGAGTGCGCATGAGTCTTGTGGGTCTGGCGCACATGGATTTCTAATTGTTTATCATGCTGATTGTCACGTGACCAAAATTAAAGCACTAATAGTCGAGGATATCTGTTCAGCTTGAAGTGGTATACTAAATATTGTTAGTGTTCAATGGACTAGATGGGGGCATATAACCATATGATTACTTATTACGTAGTATTTAATATTCTTTTATTTATAGTTGTCATTTCATTTGTGCAACTTATTTTGTTTCCAAATGTTTTTTGTGTTTTTGCACTACATGTTCAATATGATGAGGAGGTTGATGAGAAGAAATATGAGCATATCGAACGAAATGTCATTTTGAATTTCAATATATGAATTGTATCATCAGTGACTCTATAGTGATGATTCTGTTTGATTATTAATACAGTTACTAGTTTGACTTTTTCATTATAAAACCTTTTAGATGATTTTGATAATAAGTTAATTGTTTACAAATTATAATTTTTTTGATAATACATAGTAAATTTTGAAAGGAAACTGACTAACTATATTAGAATTCAAGAACCAACGACTTTACAAATTTTTTAATATTGAATAGCCTTTTGCTACCAAACTCACCATAACTCGAAGGTTCCCCCACCATCTGATTAGACATACAAACGACCACGCTAACTAGAGCGGATCGAGTCGCTAAGCATTTGAGAGATTTGATGATTATCTTGGCTTTTGAAGCTATTTTACTTCTTAGCATAAAATACCTACCCACCTCATAAGCATAACACACTCAATCAACTAAGGGTTCAAAATAAAAAAACAAACTGGAAGATAACAATAATATAATGCAAACTAAACGAGCGTGTCATTGCTTGCCAAGATCCATTATTCTTGATCCTTTCTAACTGAGGCCTTCCACAAATAGCCAAAGCTCCAACTCGTACATTCCATGGCGGTGATTCAGGAGGTGGCCGGACCATCAGGACGGACCAAATACGATCTTTCCGAAATCTTGGTCTAGTCATGCGCTAGACTCCAATCATGTGATTTTCGTCAACATAGTCGCGTCTTATTCATCCATCTCCATACTGTCATACATCTGAGCCAGCTGCACCACCTTGAACTATTTCTGATTTGCCTCCATCATCTGCCCTCAGAGTTGCCCGAATGAATTCAACTGAATCGCCGTACCACGAAGTCCCCTTCCAAGCTTCCAGCGACCTTCGCCGACCAAGAGAGCCGCCACCGATCATCCTTGTTCAAACTTGCACCTAACCCTAGGCTGCTGTCCGCACGTTTAGTAAGTCCCTGGAAACAGTTAGGATGTTTTTACTTCGACTGTAATTTGCTGATCTGGTCTGGTCTGAACTGGTATGGTCTGGTTTATTTGTATTTTTATAACTATGATCTCGTCCGGAACACATTACGAGTAAAAACATCGTTTATACTTGGTACTTAAGTTATACGAGTATTACCTTACACAAAGTAGTTGTAATTGTCACAACCACGCAATTATTGTTATTTTTAATTTTAATAGAACTGAAGTACAACAACGGCCATCTCCCAGAGAGGTAGGTAGCTTGGCTCCGCAATTATTAAACCTCCAGCAACGGCCATCGCCCAGAAGACGACAACTCCACGCGGGCCAATGGGTGTCACCACCACAACTACCATTTCCACCCCCGCTTGCGCTTGCATCGGTGATACCGAACGTACGGGCCTGCTTAATCCTAAGGTTCCCAAAGATTCTTATCACTTGGGTTACATCATCTACTTCACCCTCGGTGCTGGCTATCTTCTTCCATGGAACGCGTTTGTCACTGCCGTGGATTACTTCTCCTACTTCTACCCGGACGAATCTGTAGACCGGGTCTTTGCCGTGGTCTACATGGTGGTAGGCTTGATTTCCCTTCTGGTCGTTATAGCATTGGCGCACAAATCGAACTCCTTCGTGAGGATAAACGTGGGGCTTGCTCTATTTGTGCTGGCTCTGCTCGCCGTTCCATTGATGGATGTGTTCTATGTGAAGGGGAATATTGGGGTCGCAGGTGGGTACTATATATCCGTGGGGCTGGTGGGGATTTCTGGACTTGCCGATGGTTTGGTTCAGGGCGGAGTCATTGGATCCGCGGGGGAGTTGCCTGACCGGTACATGCAGGCTGTGGTTGCTGGCACTGCCGCCTCTGGTATTTCCATTTCTTATTTTTGTTTTTGAATTTTTGGTTAAGCTTTTCTCTGGTTTAAGAAATTCCTAGTTTGATACTCCCACCCAATAGTAGGATAATGAATAGGGTAGAAAAAGTAGGAGAGAAGGTGTGAAAGCTTGAAAGAGAAGATAAAGGTTGAGTATTTTTAAAAGAAAAACTTATCAAAAAGGGAAAGCATAGCAAACTTTTAAATACATCCCAAAAAGAAAAAGAAAGTATAGGGAACTTTTAAATACAGCGTGAGTACTAGTCTTTCTTTTTTATTCTTTGGTGCTTTGATTCATTCATGTCTTGTTGTGTCTTGGGTAGAGCAAACTATCAGAGTACTGTATAATTAATTTGAGTTGATCACCGGTGGACTTGTCTGGTACTTGCAATTGAATTTCATATGCGAGTTCGTCTCAGTTTGAGCTAAGGTTTTCCTTCATTTCTTCTTCTTCTTCTTCTTTTCATTTTTCTAAATTACTCCGTATAGTGCAGTAACTTATTTGTTCATTTTTGCATCAGAAGCTTGATCAAATCTTAGCTACAGACAATTGTTTGTTTCTTTTTTGAATATATGTTGGTGGTATGCTGAGGTACAAGCGACCCAAAATCATCTAGATTAATTCGTAAAGTATTTTAATTCGATCTAGATTCTGTCGAGCCCAAGTTCAAGCTCTAGTAACAAGTGCTCTGCTTGAGCTGATCACGAGCTTAATCTTGATTTTCTACCATTTACAGTTTTTTTCACATGAATAAAAAGAAATTCTCAAATAGATAGTATGTGTGTATATATTCATTTCATTTAATATGGTACTTCATATAGCTTAGCATATTTGTTGGTAAAACCTATGTTATTATAGGTTTTAGATGAATAAAATGAAAAATGAATATATCAAATATTTGAATCAAATCAAGCTCGAGTTTGCGAAATGAAATTGGATAGAGCTAGATTCAAGTCATTCAAGCTTCGAATTTTGGTTTTGTATTCGAGCAATGCTTTGTGTTGACCATTCGGGCTTGGCTCAACGGCACTCTAGTAGCATGTAATGATGTAATTAGAAGCACATGGTGCAACTCTTTTAAATACCCTTTAATGCAAAAGAAATCACTCAAATTTTCAAAGTTTAACATCTTCCAAATCTTCAAAAAAATTCTTTAGTCAGAGATTATTCACATAAATAGTCTCACTCTACTCGTAATGCTAGAGGTAAGGGCCACATACATCTCACACTCCAGACCCTACTTTCAGACCAGACATACAGGGAATCTTTGGTTGTTTTTTTGCATGTATACCTCCAGATTATGCTATCTTTCTAAATAAGCTCTGCCTCATTGTAACGCATTTGGAGCATTACTGCTGTGTCTATAGTATATTTTCATAAGAATCTCATTAGCATTATGACATAATCTCCCTTTAGCTCAGAGGATGTGATGTGTTGAACTATATTGATTTGCCATAGAACTCCATTTATAATTGAGTTGTTTCCAGTATGAATGCGTTCTGTACTAAAGTAGCATTATAAGCAGAGAAGTTAACTAATGAGTAATGACATTGTTTTTTGGTTTGTGCAGTTCATTTTATTATTTATCCTGTGAAATATGGAGTAAAGTGTAATATTTGTGGGTGATCTAATATGGGATTAATGGTGTGATTTTATATTGTCCTGAAGGCATCCTTGTTTCTCTGCTAAGAATCTTGACCAAAGCGGTTTATCCACAAGACGCTCAAGGGCTGAGGAAAAGTGCAAACCTTTATTTCATCGTTACCATTGCTGTGATGGCACTGTGCATTATTTTTTACAACGTAGCACACAAACTCCCAGTGATTCAATACTACAATCAACTTAAAGCTCAGGCAGTGAATGAGGAGAAAGAAGAGAAGGGCAACTTGGGAACCACCAAGTTATGGATATCAACCTTGGGGGACGTTTTCGGGACAATAAAGTGGTATGGGTTTGGCATCCTCAGTATATATATTGTAACATTATGCATTTTCCCTGGATATATCACGGAGGACGTGCATTCTAAGATTCTCAGTGATTGGTATCCAGTCCTGTTAATCACATGCTACAATGTGTTTGATTTGGTTGGCAAGTCCTTAACAGCTGTTTATACTATTGGGGATGCAAAGGCTGCTATAGCTGCCTCCTTTGCTAGGTTGTTGTTTCTGCCTCTTTTCTATGGTTGCTTGCACGGACCCGAGTTCTTTAGGACTGAGCTTCCAGTTATGGTACTGACATGCCTTTTGGGACTTACAAATGGATACCTAACTAGTGTGTTGTTCATACTGGCTCCCAAAACTGTCCTGTTGCAACATGCAGAGACAGCAGGGCTGGTTCTAGTGCTGTTCTTGGTGATTGGGCTGGCTGTTGGTTCTATCTTATCCTGGTTCTGGGTCATATAGTGTTATGGGAGTTCTTTTCACTTTTAGTTCCGTCTTTAGTCTCTGACTATTGTGACAAATTCATTTGGTCCTTCGACTAGTGACACTTTTTCCTCCACTTAGTATTATGTCGAGAGTCATTACAAGTGTTATCACAATAGTCGAGGTATCAAAAGTGTGTGATAAAAAGTTACTGACACAGTAATGGGAGGGAAGTGGGAAAAACTGAGGTCCCTGTCAATTGTAAAATAAATGTCCTTCCATTGGTGTAGTCAGGATGAATGTATCTTTATTTCCCTTGTGTTTTAGTACACATGTATGTGCCAATTGTTCTCTTATACTTTGTACTACGTATTAGACTTGGAAACTTCATAGTTCATATCTTCATATACCAGGTTATGATAACCTCGTGGCGGGGTGTTAATTAGTATCAAATTTTTCAAAGTGATTCAACTATGACAGACATACATTTGGAGAATGAGACCCGCAAGGCGCAAGTTATTGCTACACATCATTCTTCAATGTTTTGTAGACTTGGCACACATTATTCTACAACTTCTTCATCCAAAAGCTAGGTTGATGATACTTCATTCTCCTTCAAGTTGCTTTATCTCATTGTGATTGTGATGAATCGTAGTATCGTATGGTCGTACACAGATGGAAAGTAGTGTTTACATATATGAGTTTGATTTTGATGATCGTGCTAAGTATGAATCAAGCAAGAATGTTCTCTCATACAGTCATACCTCGGATGCATGTAAAAGTATTGCCATATATACACGGCACTTGCAAAGAGTTACAAATAGGGGTGGACTCGGGCCGGTCGGACCGAACCGGAACCGGCCCGAACCGGTACTGTTCTGGCCCGGCCTGGCCCCGGAACTGGTCGGCAGTACGGTTCGGGCCTACCCGGCCTGGTAGGTAGGCGGTCCGGGCCTTGCAAAAGATGAACCGGCCGGGCCGGACCCGGTCCGGGCCTCCAACAGCTACTTTTTAATTTTTTTTTTTAAATTGAAGAAGGCTCCTAGCCGTTGGGAATCATCCCAAACGGCTCTATAGCCGTTGGAGGGGGGGGGGGAGGGAGGGGTGGTGGTGGGTGTTGGGGATACCAAAAAAAATCTATTTATACTCCTATTTTCTCTATGTTTTTCACACCATCTTCATACAATCCTACTCTAATTTTCTATTCTCTCATACTCAATCATCTCCATCTTCATCTTCTCCAAACCTCTCTACATATATATATATATATATATATATGTATATATATATTATTTATATAATTATTATATCTACTTATATATTAGTTATCTACTTATATACCTATATTATATTACTAATATTTATTATCTACTTAATATATACTTATTATCTACTTATACATCTCCATCTTTTTAATATTTACTTTATTATCTATATTTATTGTTATTTACTTATATATATTAAAGTATTATATATAAGTGTATTACTCATCTTATAGTAATATACTTATATATTATATACTATAAACATTATATTATTAGTTATACAATAATCTACTTATATACCTATATTATATTACTAATATTTATTATCTACTTAATATATACTTATTATCTACTTATACATCTCCATCTTTTTAATATTTACTTTATTATCTATATTTATTGTTATTTACTTATATATATTAAAGTATTATATATAAGTGTATTACTCATCTTATAGGAATATACTTATATATTATATACTATAAACATTATATTATTAGTTATACAATAATCTACTTATATACCTATATTATATTACTAATATTTATTATCTACTTAATATATACTTATTATCTACTTATACATATCCATCTTTTTAATATTTACCTTATTATCTATCTATATTTATTGTTATTTACTTATATATATTAAAGTATTAGAGAGCTCTTCTCATCAGGCCGGCCTGACGGGCTGCCCCGTCCGGCCGAGCCCGTTTGGGCACCTTCCCGGTGGAATTTTTTGATGAAATTTTTTGAGCATGTTCCTCATCGAGTCTAGTTTGTCCATACCAAATTTCAGCTCAAAATTAGATTGGGAAGGTCGTCAAATGATTTTTTCAAGTTAACAGGTCCGGAAAATACATATTCCGGACCAGTTAACTTGCAAAAATCATTTGACGACCTTCCCGATCGAATTTTGAGCTGAAATTTGGTATGGACAAACTAGACTCGATGAGGAACATGCTCAAAAAATTTCATCAAAAAATTCCACCGGGAAGGTGCCCAAACGGGCTCGTCCGGACGGGGCAGCCCGTCAGGCCGGCCTGACATGATGATTTCTCTAAAGTATTATATATAAGTGTATTACTCATCTTATAGGAATATACTTATATATTATATACTATAAATATTAAATTATTAGTTATACAATAATCTACTTATATACCTAAATTATATTACTAATATTTATTATCTACTTAATATATACTTATTATCTACTTATACATCTCCATCTTTTTAATATTTACTTTATTATCTATATTTATTGTTAGTTACTTATGAGTTTTTTATGTAAATATTACCAATAATACTTGAGTTTACAAAAAAGTGACTACAAGTCCATAACTACCCATCACGTACAAACAACATTGGAGTAATGGTAGGGAAACCACCTTGTTATTTTATTCAATAGTCATATTTTTGTTAGAAATATTAAAAGTAGTAATATTTGTGAATATTAAAGTAATATATATAATATATACTAAAGTATTATATATAAGTGTATTACTCATCTTATAGTAATATACTTATATATTATATACTATAAACATTACATTATATACGAAGTATTAGTTATACAATTATATTAGTTACACTTGAATTCATAGTAATTAAATTCATCGTATTAGTTAATTTTTACATTTCTCATTATCCTAATTTAGTTAATTAATTACATTTTCATTAAAGTATAAAAGTAGTTAATTGTTACATTTTTCATTAAAGTATAAAAGTAGTTAATTGTTACATTTTTCATTAAAGTATAAAACTAGTTAATTGTTAAATTTTTTATTAAAGCATAAAACTAGTTAATTGTTACATTTTTCATTAAAGCATAAAACTAGTTAATTGTTACATTTTTCATTAAAGCATAAAACTAGTTCATTGTTACATTTTTCATTAAAGCATAAAACTAGTTCATTGTTACATTTTTCATTAAAGTATAAAACTAGTTAATTGTTACATTTTTCATTAAAGTATAAAAGTAGTTAATTGTTATATTTTTCATTTCCCTATTATTTAATTTGTTAATTGTTGCATTTATCATAAAAGTAAAAAAACTAGTTATTTGTTAATTGTTGCATTAAAGTTTCAAACTACTTAATTTTATTAGTAAGTGGATTCTTGGAAATTTGCTATAATTTTATTAGTCGCATTATATTATTACTATTGTACTCATATTAAAACATTTGATATCATATAATATTTGTTACATTTTAAAGATGGATCGTGGCAGACATTCCGTAGATATGGGTAATCTCCAACGCAACCGAAGGAAGGAGATTGCGACAAGTCATCCTAGTTTACGCAAAGGCAAAGGTAAAGGGTGGGCCGGGTCTTCTTCTCAAAGTCGAGAAGATTTTGAAACGGGATACCAAAGGCGAGATGGGGATGCGATGTCCGACGAGCAACTACAACAACTATTGGCGCAAAATGATGGTCGCTTTTTCCAACAACAAAACATCCCGGAGTCCATTGATGAAGAGGAGCTCGAGGATGACGATGCGGAGTAGGACGAGGGGGGCGACGGGACTCACGGCACCCCGGATGATGAGCAAGAGTTGGAGGACGAGGGCGGTCCATCCCAAGTTGGTAAGAAATCTAAATCTCCTATTATAGAAAATAATTTTACAAAGAGGAAAGACCCAAAAACCGATAAATGGTACGCAAGTTGCGATCATTGCAAGAAGGAGTATAGCTTGGGAACTTCCGGCGGATACGGGAGCCTCAAAAGACATCTTAAGTCCGCGCACTCTGTGGAGTATGCGAAAATAGACAAAGGCAAAGGGAAGCAAACTCAAATATCGAGGTTTGCAAATGACCAACCTTTTGTCAATTTCTCATACACTGATGCACAAAATTTGACTGGTATGACTAACTTACTTGTTGAAGAAAATTTGCCTTATTTGTTTTCTGAAAGTCTTGCTTTTAAAGATTATGCACAAATTTGTTTAAATCCTCAATTTAGAAGTTATAGTCGCAAAACGGTTAAGAAAGAAATTACAAGGCTTTATCGTGCGGAAAAGGATAGGTTACAATTTTTTTTTGCAAACTTTGATGGCCGTGTAACTATTTGTTCTGACATTTGGGAGGATACTTATCATAATTTACATTATTTGGGCCTGACTGCACATTTTATTGATAATGATTGGAATTTGCATCAACGTGTTCTTGCTTTTCGTGAATTTAATGATCGTCATACCGTTGAACATATTTATATTTTGATTGAACGTATTTTAACTGAGTATAATTTGATTGATAAGGTGTTTGCTATAGGTTTTGATAATGCTACTAATAATACTGCTACTATACCTAGATTGCGTGAATTGTGTGGTTCTCATACTTTGACGGGTAGATTTTTTCATCAACGATGTGCATGCCATATTATAAATTTATGTGTGCAAGATGGTATAAAAGCGTTAGGAGATGCTATGTAGGTAGTCAAGGGGGGATTAGACGTATTTGGGGCAATGGTCAACTTAAATTAAAATGGAAAAATTATTTGATTGAAAGATGTGTGAAATATGTTGCTTTTCCTAAAGATTTGTCTATTCAGTGGAATAGTACTTATAAATTAATTAAAGTTTTTCTTAGATATAAAGAACATTTTCCTGCTTTTTTAAGACAATATGATAACTATATTTTAAACTTCGCTCACATCGATACTTGCGAAAAAATTTGTAATGTTTTGATATATTTTAATAATGCAACCGATAGTTTTAGTCATGTTTATAAACCTACCTCAAACGAATTTATTCGTGAAGTTGTTAATCTCGCCGGTGCTTTTAATGAATTTGAGAATGCCGCTTACGTGAGTTATTTTTGTGGTTTTATGAAGGAAAAGTTTTTAAAATATTATGCACATATTCCGCATATTTATGATATTGCATTTATTCTCGATCCTCGTTATATACTTGGTAATTTGGAAGAATGTTTGAAGTTCTATTATAATGCTTTTTTGGTCCATTTCCAATGTATGACGATAACGCCATAGATCCGCAAGTTGAATACAACGAGGTTAGTAATTTATTTTAGGTCTTATTTAAAGAGTTTCGTGCACAATATGGCAACGCGCCCCCTCCCCCGACACACACATCTTCATCTAAAGGAAAATCACTTTTTAAATCTGCTTTTGTCTATCTTATGAAAAAACCTAAAACAACTCACACTACTG